AATGAATATCATTTTCATGACCAGCAGGTCGAACACCCCCCTTCTAAGCGAATTTTCAGCGAAATGCGTGATTTTCAGATTTTGGTTGTATAAGTGGAGCGCTAAAACGTCTAATCAAACAACCCAAGTATGTTATTTCCCACCTAAACCGCTTCGATTCATCTTGGGTGTCCTCGACGAGGTCAGGCTCCTTGAGAAGCACGCTAAGAGTTGGAGATGTTTCCGTAGGGCATTCGATGAGGAACATGGCATCCAAATCCGGATTGGTTAGGATTAAACACTGAAAGACAAGAGTTCAAAGGTATTTTGCCATGAAAAAGAATCACAGTTGGGAAAAAAGTGAAGAGCAGAACCTTGTGATAAAGTTGGTAGCGGAGTCGGTGTGCAAGAAAAAAACAGAAACAAGGAAAGCTACAAACTAATCATGATACCTTCTCAGTCGAATCCGGAAATTCGAAAAACCGACATCGATCGGGCCCAAAACGGGCAAACAAAAATCTGCATAGTCTGGCACAATTCGTTCCTTTTAAGAGCTCCCGGAGCCTAAAAAATGCAATTGCCTCGAAACTATAAATAGGAGCAACGGCGAATAAATGTTGGTATTCACTCTAAAAAATGCAAGAATGAAAGCCAAACATGACCACCTTGGCTCTCTGCTTTCCATGTAAATTTGGCTAACCACCGAAATCAGGGTCTTCAGCTCAGAGGGTTTCATGGTTTCATGGTGTGAAATTGACCGGAGCGGTTGCCAGGGATCCATACTCCTATACAACACATTGGGAATTCCCAAAACAGAAGTAGGAAGATTAAAAATACATTTACCTATTCGGATTGGAACCGAGAAATATACTGCTTATACCCGTTTGCGGCTGTGATGTTCGGCTATGCTTACGTAGCAGTACCTAAACATACTTCCTGTTTCTTGTTGAGGTTGGGTTAATTTTCCACTTTACCTGCTTCCACATACTAGCCCTTCTACACAGAAACTCAGCTTCTTTAACACAGTCTGCTAACTGAGCACTGTACTGAGAAACCGCATCTTCGACTTCCTTTTGTAGTATCCTTTGTCGACCACTGAGAAAATGCACATAGGTGACATGCTCGCCGGGTATCGTGCCGTCTGAAAACAAAAAATGTCACAATAAGCTTTAGTTCATCAGCCTTTTTCATGTTTACTCAGTAGGAAGTAAGATTAA